TACTTATGCTGTTTTATTAAAACCTAATAAGCAAGAAGGACAAGCAGAAAAGCAAATAAGGAAATTGGATAATGATTAAATGATGTTAACAGCCAGTGGTGAATCGCCTGATTTAATTAATTTCTTGCCTAAAGTACTATTATTTTTTCTTTGATCTTTATAATTATATTACAGAATGTTCCTTGGTTAGACCAGATTCCACGTAGCAAGTCTTTTATTTCTAACTCTTTCAATTGTTGCATTACATAATTTGTAAGCTGCTTTCCTTTGATACTTTCTGAACTTTTTTTTTTTTAAACTATCAACTACATTGAAAAGTTATTTGAGAAGTAAAACAAGTGGTCTTGTTTTGTTAATATTTTTAATGTATTTGCTAATATAATTGGTTTCAAGAAAAAAAAAGACTATGAAAAAAGAAGACTAGCTACCTCCTAGCTACCTGATATTTCTTACTTAATACAGATAATTTTTATATAAAATGAGCGTATGAATTGTAGGTAATATGAATAATTTTGAAAACATACAGCCAAAATATTCTAGTCACATAGTGACTTAGTGCTTAACTCCACACATCCAGCAATTCAATGGCACTGGCATTGTCAGCGTATGTAATCCTCTGCTCTAGCTGTATAACCCCAGGGAAGTGCCTCCAGGACTAGAAATGCTGTCATCTGTACTGACTCCACTTGAATGTGGGGACAGTACAACTATTTCCAAGTCTACATCTTCTTAAACCTGTTTAAAAGCTTTCTCAGTTTCAAAACAGATAATGATTCTTCTTTTTAAATGGACTTCCTGATGGAAAGAGTCAAACAAATTGAAATTAAAGTTTTTGTTTTTAAAGGAAAAAAAAATATCAAATACAAGTGTCCTCTTAGTTTCATTTTTGCCTACATATGAATGAAAAATGAGTGCAAACCTTTAAAAGAGAGTAAACAGCTAGTTGGCAATGGCTACATTAATGTAGTCCCATTTGTACTATTTTAGCACAGGAGTACTGACCTACCCATGAATGAATGCTTTCACTGTACAGCTCTGTAACTCAGTGTTTAATATGCAAAGTATCACAGCTGGGAATTTAAAGAGGTTGTTGAGGAGGGTCATACATTAGGATGACAAACTGGAAGTGCTCAAATTATCTAGCTTGCCAAAAAGAAGTGAAGAGGTAATTTGATTGTATCTTGAAAACACCTAAATGAGAAACCTGCTCTCCAGTCTAGTAGATAAAAATACATCAAGATCAAGGGACTGGAAGCTTGTGCTAGACCAATGTAGACTACAAATAAAATTACTTTTTTTTTTTTTTCCCCAGCGATGGGAATAATTAACTACCAGAACAATTCATTACAGGTTGTGGGAACATCAATGAAAGTTTTTAAACTCAAATCATAGAATCATAGAGTGTTTTGGGTTGGAAGGGACCCCCAGAGGTCACCCAGCCCAACCCCCCTGCAGGAGCAGGGACACCTTGAACCACATCAGGTTGCTCACAGCCCCGGCCAACCTGGCCTGGAATGTTCCCGGGGATGGGGCCTCCACGCCCTCTCTGGGCAACCTGTTCCAGTGTTTCACCACCCTCACTGTAAAGAATTTCTTCCTTATATCTAGTCTAAACCTGCCCTGTTTTATTTTAAAACCATCACCCTTTGTCCTGTCACAGCTGTCCCTACTAAACTCAAATGATCTTATGAAATGAGTGAATATTAATTTATCTGAAAAATACATTGGCCTAGTTCTGTCAAAATCAGATTAAATGATGCCGGTAGTCAGTTATAGGATTGGAATCTATTAACAGAGATCCATACTTTCTCTAATCATGAAGGTATTTTCACCAGTGACAATACAATAACTATCTAATCTTCAGAACAGACTCTTCCAAAACATACTGTGTTGAACAGTAGTTATATTTGATAGCCCACCAAAATGCTACAGAAACTTCACTCTTAAGAAAATTTCTTATTGGGGCAAGACAAAATCTGTGGGATGCAGAATCTCTGCATAAAAGTATGCAGAAGCATACACGTATCTGAAGAAAGTATATTTCTGTGTCTTTACATTGCATAACGTAACCTGTGTATGCAGTTTATGAAAGCATGGAGCCTCCCTTACATGTAAACATGTAAAAGCAGCAATAAGAAATAACACTAACACCGATATTTTTATTACCTAAGCTTTTAGTGCTTTAAGCAGAGTCTCTATGGAAAACTAACATGAGAATGGAGACCATGGATTTCACCACATACATATATTGTAAATAATATTCTATCTATCTTGAAAACTCTGTAACAACCCAGGAAGTATTTAGGATACTAAATGTAACAATTTGCTTCTTCACAGGGCAAGGCTAAATGCCTCATATGACATAAACACATAAATACATTAGAGAAATAAAGAAACACTCTGCTTCTTTCAGCTCCAGAACAAAGTAAAAGGAAAATGCAAGCCATCATAACTGGTTATAAATCAATGCAAACTTTTGCTGCCATTTTATTTTAGAGGGAACAAAGATGTGACATCTGAGTTTAAAAAGTGAAAGAACAAAAGAAAGCATTTAATGTCCACTCCAGAAACCAAACTACTGGTAGAAATTACACTAACCAACTACCAGGCAAGAAAAATGGCTGGAGAACATTGTGAGAGAAGTGGGGTACAAAGCAGCTGAACAAGCACACTTTGGCTAGGTATAATTTCATACTGCTTTGTATTTTTCTCTTGCACAATTTTACTTCTACTAGTACTTTCTTTTGCTAAGCTGTGGAGTCAAAGGCTAGTATGAGGAAGTGTTGAGTTCTCCTGAGGACTCTGTGCAGGCACAAATCCCTGCTGCACTACTTGGTGAGCAACAGTTTACAGCTCTGGAAAACCTGTAAGACCACCAGAGATATCCAAGCCTTTCTTTTGTAAGGTTCTCAACTGGCCCCCCAGTCATTCATTTCAAACGGGTTACACCTCAGTTTATGAGCTGGTCTTGCTAGCATTAAGATATTGATTACGTGGAAATTTAATGAGCTGTTACCTTTGAATTATTCTAGTCCACTAATGGAAATAAGGGTAATTATAACATGATATAGATCATCATAACTTGGCTGAAGAAGGAACACAGCTAAGTGTAGTCTGCAAGATGTACCAGGAGTGACTTAAAGAGCACACTTGAAGATCAAAGGGATACTTAAAACATTAAAATTTCCAATCCATGTGGGGAAGAGGGTTGGACACGTACCTCTGAAACATGCAAATGGTATTACTGCCTGACTTTCCAAAGTCACAGTGAATGAGACTTTCCCAGCCGTTTCAAAGGAAGAATAAATTTCCAAAAGAAAGAGCTTGCCATTTATCTCTTTCCTTAGCTTGTTATAAACTTCAGAATGAATAATTAATAGTGCGGTTATTTTAGAAAAATATATTTTATGCCACCTGAATCAGCTGTTGGTATTGTGCCCTTAGCTGGAAAGGGATTACAAGTATCAAACAGCTTGGGCCTGTTGTAATAACACAACTGGAAAGAATTGCTATCCAGAAAGCCAATTCTTGAGTAGTTGAATGAGGGGATTTCACCTATCGAGTAAAGATTAAATCAGGTCTGTCACTTAAAGAGTATGTTTGATGGAGAAAGCCGGTCTAATGCATATTTCAACCTGTAACTATGACAACTCATAGAACCTCTCTAATATAGATAAGAGCCACATGTTGCATTAACATGTGAAGTGTAAATGAATAAGTTATAGTTCTTTTCAAGAGAAAATATTTGCTCTCTAATCATAAGTTTAATAGTCAGACTTTCATATTTCCACCTCACACAAATGACAAAGAGATTTCTTCTTTTTGTTGCTGCTCTGTTTGGAGATGGGGTTCAGAAGATGAAGTTAAATAGCTAAATTATAAGCACGTTAGGAAGTTATTGGTGTTGCCACAATACTAGTCATGCTTAATAAGTAACAAATACAAGTGTTCCTTTCACCTATAGTTCCAGCAACACTGCTTCCATTCTTCTGCAACATACAATTTTATTTTTTTAAAAACAGACAGTTTCCATGACTTATGATAGTAGTCAGACAAAATTTGCCTGCATTTTTTTTCACTAATCAACAACAATGAAACTAACATCAGTTAGAAGGCAGCAGCTTACATCATCACAAAATAGGAAAAAAAAAAAAAGTCATTCAACCTTCAGTGAGGCTCTGATAGGCTTTTAGAGCTCAATTACAAATAATTTAATCCAAAAAAATTAAAGAATTAATAAATTCTTCAGTGAAGTCAAGTGTGGTTGAAGTCAGTATACAATTCTATGAATGCTGCAGAAACATATTATTCCTGCATTTCTACATAAAACAAAATGTAGTTTTATATACAACCAGTTAGACAATGCACCTTGCAGCTGTGAAAGAAATGCAATGGCAGGCACTTTTAAATGTACGCCAGTCATATACTACAATACCTCAGTGCAAACATATGCTTATGTGATTTTAAACAGATTAATACTTTCACTAACTTCATAAAACTGCTCATGTGTTTAAAAATAAATCTGCATGCAAAAATGCACAAAAGCAAAATCTGACCAATTTCTATCGACACTGTAATCGTCTTTATGTTTTTCTCCCCCAACAGAGGCAGAATATATGGCTGTTACAGCACCTCTGCATTTTTAATCTGAATCATGTACGAAACAGACTGCGAAATTCTGTTTAAGAGAAAAAGTTAATCTAGCTGGCATATCCATAATGAGAAGTCTAAGAACTTCAACAAAATATGCTGGGATCTCCTTATAGAAAGAGTATGATGTTGAATAGCAGCTGTGGAAAATGTAAATTTGGGTTAATCCTTCTGGGCTGGTTACTGACTCAACGTGTGCCTTTTCTTAGTAAGCATATGCAGTGGTCATGATATTTTAAAAGACATAAATAATAATTTATTTTGGCAAAGTGACCTTCTAAGAATAATTATTACCTTTTTAGCAGTGGGAAAAGGCAAAGTCTTCATAGCAGAATTTCCAAAATACTTACCACGGTTTGATGGTTGACCTGGATGACCTCATCACCAGCATGGATTTTCTTACACTGGTCAGCAGGAGACTAAGGACAAAAGATAATAATTAACTTTACATGGGAGTTGTGGAGGGGGAAGGGAAGAGCAGGAATTAAAATAATGAATGTTGAAGGAGACAAGAAAGCTGTGCCCAAAATATTATTTTTATCCAATAAAAATAATTAGTCATATTTATAAAAACAGTATTTATAAGGAACTAAGTTGTTTTCTGGTTACAGCTGGCAATTTAATGAAGTAATCAATAATTCCACTTCCATTGGTGATGAACAGCCTTTTTGACTGGTTGAACTATTCTAGCTTCTGTACCTCTCTGTGGGGAGTATGAGCAGCCACAACCTCGCTGGGAATACACCGAATTAAAATACATCGCATAGAAGTAAATCCGTTAAGTCAATAAATACTGAGCTTACTGCATGGTCAGGGACAGGGCTGGACCAACCATGCGTGTAACAGAAAAGATAGGTTCTTATGATCACATTAAAATGGATTAAAACCCATTGAAAAGCTACTTGAACATGGTCAACTGCTATTTAGCAAATCATTTTTAAATGCTTCAGTGAAACCAGATCTTAAATCTGTAAGATAAATCTGTAAGGCATGCAGGATATCAGCAGTCGTATGCAGGAGTAGAGAATTGAGAACTCATGACAACTCACTTGCATTGTCTACTGATACAGAGTACATCAACTTGAAATTCAAGAAAAAAAAAATCAGAAAGGAATTAAAGAGCTGAGACATCACCCTGAGAAATAAATCGCAGTGGAAGTTAGCTATTAAGGAAGGAGACCAGCCAGGAGACTTGGACAAGGCTGAATGTTTACTCTACTTGTTAGATATGGAGCCAGAGTGAGGAGAGGACATATTGTCCCATCTCAAACAATGCAGAAACGTGTAAAACAAAATACTCTATTTGAACAGTTCAAGTTCCCTGTCCAAGCAGACTGCTAAGAAAGGCAGAAAAAGAACCACTTGCAGCTACAGAGAATGGTCTAGTTCTAATACTGTTGAAGAAGTTCCTCACTTGAAAGGAGTTATGTTATCAAAACTTGGTTCAGTTCCTGGCTATCTTTTGGATAACATAAATTGCCCCTGGCACAAGAGTCAGGTACAAATGCAAAGGAAGAACGGGTTTATCTGAACGAAATGTGACTTGTAGAAGCCTGTATTTCATGACCTCACTGCGCACCGATCAAGACTTCCAGGAAACAGGCAAGTGCTCTTCAGCTGGACCATCTTCACTAACCACAAATCTCACCCATCATTTCCATCCCTTTTGTGGATGGAGATTAAAAACATAAGATAAACAAATAAAAGGAACAAAGACAAGAGGAAACAATACAACAAAAACTCAAATCACCACTGTGAAGAAAATTACTGCAATTACTTCTGAATAACATGCCAACAAGGAGGTCAAATCCATAAGGAGGTCAAATCTATGAAGGGGTGAAATCACTCTCCAATAGTCAGCACCTGCTGATTAATCAATAGATTCTGCAGTCTACACAGGTGCTGGGGAGTAGTAGGAGACATCTTTAATTATTCAATCAGAAAAAAGAAGCCAATAGGGCAAATAGCCAACATTCAACACAGCGATTCCAAGTGTGCTATAGGTGTTATTCCAAGCATAGCTTTTACTTTCAGCCAACTGCTTGCTTGTTGTTGCTAACCTTGCTCTGCCCAACCTCCCTAACACGCGCTGTGTTCCACCTCCTCATCTGCTTGAACTCTGCTTGCTCTTTCGTAAGGGCGTCTGTGTCTCCTGTAGCGGGGAGTCCAGCCCTTGCCCTAAACTACCTGGTCATTACAGCCAGATATCAACTCCTGCCAACTGAGTCCTTCTGCACTAGAATGAACAGGATTTCACCTACGTACTCTATAGGATGGTGTGAAGGACTACCTGGCTGCAGTGCCACTTCCTCCTTTTAGTGGAATCTTGCAGAATTTTAGCAGGCTGCTCTTTTGCACCGGGCTAAACATGTAACAAAGATATTTCTAGAATTCAATGTGAACACAAACTTGATTGCTTTAAAAAGTAAATGACAGGTAATCAGGAAACTGAAGTAAACATCACCATTCATAATGTTTAACCTCAGCTGACATTAGTTAGAAAAGCAAATGCCTGGTTCTCTCTCTTTCTAGCTCCTTTCCTGACTTTAATGAGGCTGAGCTACTTATTATCTTTTAAAATTAAACACTAGCTCTGAGGTCAATTATCCCTTCAAAAAGAATGAAAAATCAATTGGCTGAAATGACAGAAATTAAAGGTCTTTGAAGCCGTTTTTTCTGCACATGTGATTACACTTTTAGCAAAACAAGGAAGCAACTTCTTATGGTACTGTCTTATCAAAAAGTTTTGACGTCTAAAGTTTAGTCAAAATAAAAATAGAAATTTTAGTGGCTGGCAACTTAGTAACTCCTCTTGTGAATTTCAATTATAAATATGTAAATATTTTCCCCACAAACTGCATTATATTTCTAGAATGAATTAGAATTACAGTAAAAAAGTGGATTAATTATAGCATGAGTAATTCAATCTACGAACAAAATCTGTTGCAACATAATCAAGATGGATCATTCATAAGTTTCAGGACCCAAGATACACATACAGTTATTTTAAGACTTCTAAATGCTGCCAATGGGCGTTAATAGAAACAAGTAAACAAATTTTAAGTTTAATTTGCATGAGACTTGTCTTCACAAATTGTCACACACAAATCATCATGCTTTCTGTGGATTTGCAGTAAAAACTGACAAAAACTGTATTGATGCAATACGATGTCAATATATATAAACCAAGCAGAACAAAGTACCACATATGCAGCTCACCCATATGGGCCAGCATACCACTAATGTATGCCAGCAAGTATTTACATCTTTGGCTAGCTGCACAGTGCTAATTTTATGTTCCTTGGGTGTCAGCATTACATAATTTCAATATTAGCTTTATAAAATCTAAACTTGTAATTTATGCAGCCATACACTGTTAAATAGATCCAAGACTGAATGAAAACAGTGTGACTAAAACACTGTATGAAAACCAGAACGGATGGGTCCTATTATGAAGTCTGTCATAATAATTAGATTGCAGCAGTTGAAGTCAATTTATTTTTTAAATTTATAATTATGAATAGCAAGTTAAGTAACAAGAGGGATATTTAGAAGCTACTTCGTTATTCTTGTCATACTGTTTAGTTTTCCTGTGATCAGTCATACTGATTAATGTGCTGCAGCATTTCTGTGTGCTTTTGGTTCAGATTTGCCTGACGCTTCTGGACTACAATGAAAATGAGAAGGAATACATTTTGCTTGGTCTCTTCTGTATTTTTACTACAGATGATGGAAAGTATGAAAATACAATGGTGCTAACTCATCCTAACCTTTCGGGAATGGTTATTTTCATAAAAGAACTTTTTATACATCCTCACACAATAGTCATTTGGATTGTCAGCTAACTTCATTTTTTAATATTGTCAAATCATCCATCCCCTTCCATTCACGTACCAAAATCTGTCTCCTTCTTTCCACAATTTCTCCCTTCTTAGTGATAGTCCTGTCAGTAATTACTGCTAGCTTTGAAAACTTTATGATTTATCAAAGATTATTCTATAACCTGTCTGATATCAAATATAATATCTTATTTTTCTCCATTACCCATGTCTTTCGCATACACTCACACTGCTGATATTTTAAGATTTTACAATTTATTTTTTTACAATCTAGTTTAATGAATTGCTTAGACATGCAAAAGTTACTCATTCACTATGAGTCAATCCCAGGACAGGCATAATCTCCGAAGGTCTAATTTTTCTAACATTTTTTAAAAATTAATTTGGTAATTAGAACCAAAAAGGAAAAAAAAAAGAAACCCACACAAAAAATTTACTGTCCATTCTAAGAAGAAAACAAAGATCTCTTAGCAAAAAAGTATTCATCATTGTATGACAATATTTACATACTGCATAAAGTAATCTGATGGCACATATTAAGGGCTGCTCAGATGACAACTGCGCTTATCAGTAACTGCAATTTTGTGACTGCTCTGGTCAATACAAACAGCAGAGGCAGACTTTTTTTTTCCCCTATCATATTATTTCTACTGTTCTGTTCACAGAAAAATACTTCTTTTTTTATATGAACCTGAAGTGTCCTATGTTCTGAGAGATTTATCTAGAGTAGACAACAAAAATTAAATACAACAGATATTGTTTTAGACTAATGACGATGCTCTTGCATGAGAAAAATTTACTTAATGTAAAGGATAACACTTTTGTGCCAGAGAGAACATACATGAACACTATTAGAAAGGTGTATTGGAAGTTCAAGATCTTAATTTCATTATACTGCTAGTTTTTAATCACTTCATCATAGATACTTTTCTATGTCTATTTTCAAGGGTTTTACGAAGGTGATATATGTACAGAAAAGATAAAGAAAAGAAGTGTAATAAAAAGTGGCTTGATTTAAAGCAAGCTCTCATATTACAAAATGCACTGCAGATACACAGAACATACTTGTATGGATGGTAAAAGTCTTTCAGAATAAAGCAGCTTACATTTTCAGTTGTTCCTGTGATTACATGTAGTCCATCATATGTTGATTTGATATACATTCCCTGAAAAAAGAACAAGGAAAGTAATTAATATTTGTAGGAAACAAATAAGCAATGTCTGCATGATAATTAAAGTACTACGCTTATTCCAGTTTAAGGACCGTAACATTTGAACAGACTGGAAGGAACTATGGTCAATTAACATTTGCAAATCTAAGTTAAACAAATATGTATCAAGACTCATTATAAACAGCATAGCTTTCTCAATTAATGCTTTCTTTTATTCCAAAAAAAGGTTTTGGACAGAATTCAACACTGAGCATCAGTATAAAAGCTCATTCCTATTCAGTCTTTGAAATATTTAACACGACCTCTTTTTATTACTAGTGACGTAAAAGTATCAAAACTGAAACCATGAACAGGAATAGCATTTGAACATAAATGCTCCATCTTCAGAGAGTTACTGATTCAATAAAAATGAAACCATAGTCTTACTCAGAAAATACATGAGCCAGTGCTCATATTACTAATTTATAGAGAAAAATGAACTCAGTGAACTAAGAGTAGCTTTGCAATTAGTCCAGCAACAATTCTGCTTCAAGGAGACAACTGACAAGATACAGAGAGACAACCTAAGTAGGTATCCTATCTAGCTGTACACACACACAGAGCCTTAAATGTCAGTGAGATGCAATTGCTTGTATTCTTGCCTCTCAGGAGTAAGGTCATAGCTTCCCATCTCTCCATATAGCATGGATATCTACCAAATTTTGAAATCTAATTAATTTAATTGGTATATTGTACTGCTGATTCATTATTCTTTCAATAATTCTGCATCACCTTGTGCTGTCAAAAAGGAAGTTTAGAGCCCCCAGCAATAACAAAGAACATTTTGTTCACAGAAGCCAATTTCAAGATTCCTGAACACTAATGAAGATCTTCAGGCTAGGTGTTTGTACAAACACAGACACACACACCCCCAAACAAACAAAAAAAAAAAGATAAAAATACTACAGAGGTAAGATCATCTTGCTCTCTACAACTACCTATATTGGAAGTGTATAGAGAAGATGGAGCCAAACTCTTCTGAAAGTGCACAGTGGGAGAATGAGAAGCAAGGGACACAGGTTGGAACTCAGTTAAAAAAAAAGTTTATTTTATTCAGTTTTATCATGAAGATGATAAAACACTGGAACAGGTTGACAAAGCTGTGGAATCTCTGACTTGGAGATGATCAAAACTTGACTAGACGAGGCCCTTAGCAACCTGCTCTAGCTGGAGCTGCTTTGATTTTTCATCACAAGAAAAATGTGACTTCTACCTTAATGTAAACTAATTCCATTTAATCAAGTTTGAAATGTTTTAAATCCTAAAAGTAAAGACTGGCTAAAACTGCTAAGACCACTTAACTGTACCGCAATAGGAAGCTCTATTTTAGATTTTACTCATGATGACTTCTTGGTCTCTTAAATGAGACTGCTTTAAGTTATCTCATTTGTAAATGACAAGCATGTCCAAATTAAGTCTTTGAAGTCTTGAAATCACTTTCATAAAATGTGATTAGTTGGAAGAAAGAATCATAGAATCATTTGGCTGGAAAACACCTTTAAAGATCATTGAGTCCAACCGCACCAGTCCACTACTAAAGCATGTCTCTAAGCACCTCATCTACCTGTCTTTTAAATAACTCTAGGTATTTAGAAGTTTCTGGGGAGTCTTTTTTAACTCAGATGTCACATCTTCGTTCCCTCTAAAATAAAATTGCAGCAAAAGTTTGCATTGATTTATAACCAGTTACTATTTCCTTCTATACAGTTGGCTTAATTTTATCAGTGTTAGCTATTTTATTGTCTCTGTAGTACTTTCAAATGTTACTGACAAACATCTGATTCTCTTTCTCTTTGCCAACTGAAAGCCATAAACAAGAACATGAAAAGTCCTGAAGGTTCTCATTGAGAATGGGACATTGGGTCTCCATTAAAAATCTTAAACAGATATTTAAATTCATCTAGTATGTGTTACGCTGGATTTCCACAGTGAACTTTTAGCCAGAATGTTACACAATATTGCTGCATCCATCACAGAAGTCTGTTATTTTAACACACGGTAGATTTCAGTAACACATTTCCAGCCGATCTTTTAATGTCAAATATAATATCACAGTCCTAACACCCTACTTGTTTTGGCAAGGTTCATTTCCCACTTAAAAAACCAACAAACTAAGGTTTTTAAGGCCAAACCAGAGCATGGCGCCAAAGTTTTCACTAAATTTTATCACATATTTCTTCATAAAGTTCTTAGTGTCTTGTTATGCTATATGTGTTTTTGAAAAAAAAAAAAATCAAATTACATTTTATCTCTTAACATATGCCATCTGAGACATAAAAACTGACTAATCACTGAGAATTACCCTATATTTTGCTGTCTGCTCTTTCATCTTAGCTATTAAACTTTAAGAACAAAAAATATAAAAATAAACAATTCTAGTGAATGACTCATAGCCTTCAAATTATCCTAGATACAGCTTTCATCCTTGTTTTCCCAAAATAAAAAAGAACGAATTTGTTTCTTGTTGACCATTACAGTAGCCATGTATGTCCTTGACATACCTGTGTTACCTGAAAACCCTGAAAGATTGCATTTTATCTGAAAAATATGAAAACTGTTTTATTATTTTTTATTTGATACAGTTCAGAATGTAAGGTATTTTATATAATATATATCTATTACATACATATATATTTTACATATCTATTATGTATAAAATAATATCTCCATGTTTTTCTACTCAGGATAAAGTTTTGAGTATGATACTCAAAACAAGATTGAAAGTATTCTTAAAAAAAACCCCCTGAACC